ATCTTTTAAAAAAATGCAACAAAGAGCTGCTTCTTTGAAAAGATTAATAAAATTGACAAACTCTTGGCTAGATTCATTAAGATAAAAAGAGAAAAGACACAAACAAAATCAGAAATGAAATGGGAATTACCATGGATGCCACCAAATACAAAGGATTATACAAAAATACTATGAAGAACTATATGCTACCAAATTCAATAACCTAGAAGAAATGGACAAACTCTTAGAAACACATAGCCTTCCTAGGCTGAATCACGAAGAACTGGAAAATCTAAATAGACCAATCAACAGTAAGGAAATTGAATCAGCCATCCAAAACCTTCCCAAACGCAAAAGTCCAGGACCAGATGGCTTTACTAGTGAATTCTAACAAACATTCAAAGAGGATCTAACACCTGTCCTCCTCAAACTCTTCCAAAAAATTGAAGAGGCAATACTTCCTAATTCATTTTATGAGACCAACATTACCCTGATACCAAAACCCGGTAAGGATAACACACACACACACAATTACAGACCAATATTTCTGATGAATACAGACATAAAAATCCTAAACAAAATTCTAGCAAATCAAATACAACAATGCATTAAAAAGATAATACAACACAATCAAGTGGGGTTCATCCCAGGGACACAAGGATGATTCAGCCTAAACAAATCAATGAATGTGATACACCACATAGACAAAATAAAAGATAAAAATCATATGATTATATCAATAGATGCAGAAAAAGCATTTGACAAGATACAACATCCATTTATGATTAAAGCACTTAATAAAATAGGTACAGAAGGAAAATACCTTAACATAATAAAGGCCATATATGACAAACCCTCAGCTAATATCGTAATTAACAGTGAAAAACTGAAGCCTTTTTCTCTACTTTCAGGAACAAGACCGGGTTGTCTACTATCACCACTGTTCAACATAGTATTGGAAGCTCTAGCCAGAGCAATCAAGCAAGAGAAAGAAATAAAAGACATCCAAAATGGGAATGAAGAAGTTAAATTGTCACTTTTTGCAGATGATTCTTTATATAGAAAACCTAAAAGACTCCACCAAAAAGCTATTAGAAACAATAAATGAATACAGTGAAGTGCCAGCTACAAAATCAACATACAAAAATCCATCACATTCCTATATACTAACAATGAAATTTGAGGAAAAAAAATTCCTTTTGCAATTGCAACAAAAGGAATAAAATACCTAGTAATAAACTTAACCAATGATGTGAAGTACCTATACATTGAAAACTATAAGACATTTTTAAAGGAAATTGAAGAAGACACAAAGAAATGGAAAGACATTCCGTGTTCATAGATTGGAAGAATCAACATAGTTAAAATGGCCATATTACCCAAAGCAATATACAGATTTAATGCACTCCCCATCAAAATCTCAAGGGCATATTTTAAAGAAATAAAACAAAAAATCATCAGATTTGTTCAGAATCACAAAAGACCCCAAACAGCCAAAGCAATCCTCAGGAAAAAGAATAAGGCTAGAAGTATCACACTCCTTGACTTCAGCTTATACTACAGAGTAACAATAATCAAAAGAGCATGGTATTGGCAGAAAAACAGTCACACAGACCAATGGAATAGAATTGAAAACCCAGAAATAAACCCACATAAATATGTACAAATAATTTTTGACAAAGGGGCCAAAAACATACAACAGAGAAAAGAAAGCCTCTTCAATAAACTGTGCTGGGAAAATTGGAAAGCCAGGTGCAAAAGAATGAAACTAGACTGCTATTTGTCATCATATTCCAAAATTAACTCAAAATGGATCAAAGACCTAAACATAACACCTGAAACAATAAACTGCATAGAACAAAGCATAGAAACTAAACTTATGGACCTTGGCTTCAAAGAAGATTTGATGAATTTGACCTCAAAGGCAAGGGAAGTAAAAGCTAAAATAAATGAATAGGACTACATCAAACTGAAAAGTTTCTGCACAGCAAAAGAAACCATCAATAAAACAAAACGGCAACCAAACAAATGGGAGAAGATATTTGCAAACAATGCCTCCAATAAGGGGCTAATATCTAAAATATATAAGAAACTCATACAACTCAACAGCAAAAAAACCAAGAATCCAATTAAAAAATGGGCAGTGAACCTGAACAGAAACTTCTCCCAAGAAGACATACAAACAGCAAACAGATATATGAAAAAAATGCTCAACTTCACTAGCTATTAGGGAAATGCAAATCAAAACCAAAATGATGTATCACCTCACACCTGTTAGAATGGCTATCATCAACAAGACAAATAATAACAAGTGTTGGAAAGGCTGTGGAGAAAAAGGAATCCTTATACACTGTTGGTGGGGATGTAGATTGGTGCAGCCACTATGGAAGGCAGTGTGGATATTCCTTTAAAAATTAAGAATAGAATTACCATAGGACCCAGCAATCCCTCTCCTGGGTATCTACCCAAAAAAATCTGAAAATATTTATCGGTAAACATATATGTACTCCGATGTTCACTGCAGCATTAGTTACCGTGGCCAAGACATGGAAACAACCAAAGTGTCCTTCAATGGATGATTGGATAAAGATGTGATACATAAACACAATGGAATATTACTCTACCATTAGAAAAGATGAAATACTGCCATTTGTGACAACATGGATGGACCTTGAGATTATTATGCTACGTAAAATAAGTCAGACAGAAAAAGTCGAGAACCACATGACTTCACTCATATGCAGGATATAAAACTAAAAGCTACAAAGGAACAAGACAAGTAAACAAACGAAGAAAAACTCATAGACACAGACAATAGTTTAGTGGTTACCAGAGGGTAAGGAGAAGGGAGGTGGTAGATGAGGGTAAAGGGAGTCAAATATATGGTGATGGAAGAACTGACTCTGGGTGGTGAGCACACAATGTGATATATAAATGATGTATTATAGAATTGTACACTTGAAACCTATGTAATTTTACTAACCAGTCACCCTAATATATTTAATTAAAAAAATAAAGTAATACCTAGAAGAAAAAAAGATGAGGTCATACTGGAGTAGGGAAAGGCCTTAATCCAATAGGAGGATGTTGTTATAAAAAGAATGCCATATGAAAAAGACAGGCATACACATAGGGGGAATGCCATGTGAAGATTAGTTATGCTGCCATAAGCGAATGAACTATTAGAAGTTAGGACAGATCTGGAACAGATCCTTCCCTACCTAGCACTTTCAGAGGAAGCTGGTCCTGCCAACATCTTGATTTTGGACTTCTGCCTCCAGAACTATGAGACAAAATTTTCTGTTATCTTAAGCCCACCAAGTTGTGGTACTTTGTTACAGCAGCCATAGGAAACAAATAATATACAAGTGATTTGAAAACACAGTGAATAGGATATTTCTAAGAAATATCTACAGATTTTCCTCAAAAATAAAAGTGTTTTTAATGACATGTGACCAAATACAATTAAACTCATGTAAAAGAACTGCATTTAGCTCTGAGTAACACAAGTTTCCCAAAATCTAATACGTGAGGAAGGTGTTTGTTCTCACACACAGGACTAGGTCAGCACACTTAAAAATGCAATAGATTAACAAAGTCACATTTGTTGTTTTATTTTGCTACAACATTATAGTTTTTGTGGTGGGGTCAGGATCACAGTCACTAAAAGTACTGAGAACAAGCGTTCACTACACATGAGACCTTTGAAAGCATGTTAACATCCAGACAAGAGAGTGAATCATAGCATCAGAGAACACTAACCACAAGTCTGAAGTACTGGTCTGATGGACACCTTAGGGTTTGTAGGAAAATCCAAATTGTGAGTGCCTGACCACACAGGTGGATCCTTGATACCAAGCTCATGGAGATATCTGTGTAAGCCTACACTTCTAAGGAAAATGGAAATCAAGCCCTTAGTCTTTCTTTTGCTGACACCCTTGTTTGATTGGTAGGGCGAAGAATCAGGAAAATGAGCTGAAAGCTGATGTCCAGGAGCACCTATGCATCCTTCTATCGCACTTTAAAGTGGATCCCGAAACTTTTTAATGGCTTCTTCACTTCTGCCTTTCAAATCTCATGCCAAACTAGGCTACTGGTAAATGTGAACACAAAATCAGAAAGGGAAAGGATTCTGGGAAATACAGTTCTCAAATTTACCCATGTTCACATAACAGAATCCAGAAAAAGATCTCTAACTCTGTTATCTCACGATCACATCGTAAGTCTCTTAAGAAAAAGCCCATTGTCTAATTCCCAATCACAAGCAAGAACAAACAGCGATGGACAAAATATGAAAACAATTCACACTGACTATACAGTTTGAAGTGCATAATTACAAATGTCTGCCAACTATTTGTAAGAAAAAATGGAGTAAGGCTCCTCTGGTCAAAAATAAATACTCCTTGGGGCCGGCCAAGTGGAGCGTTGGTTAGGAATTGGCTTGGGATGCCAGCTCTCAGCAGCAGGACCCTGGTTCAGATCCCACATGAGGGCCAGTGATGCTGCGTCCTCTATAGCTAAGATGGTGAACAACAGTTCGACCTGGAGCTCGGCTGCCATGAATTGCTGGCAATGGCATAGGCTGCAGTGGGGCTGGTTGGCAGCGGGCATGAGCTTGTGTAAGCCACCGTGAACGGCCGTCCAATGGCCAGTGAGCAATTGCATCACCCGGGAAGAGCATAATGGTAATACCAACATGGGCCAGTGAAGTGACATCCTCCACAACTAGACTGAAGAACAAAAGGACAGCAACTTGTCTGTTCCTCTTCCCTGATTCCCCAACACTGTTCCCTTCTCCCAATTCCCCAATAAAATCTTAAATAAATAAATACTCCTTCAATAAGAGAGGCAGAAAATATATGATGAGTGATGGCCAGTATGTGCCACGCTAAGCCAGTAAGAAAAATCCAACAGACACCAAAGGGTCATTGTTCCCGTAACCCCATAAAAAACAATTCAAAGAAATTAAAACTACTTACATATTGAAAATACATTTCAAATCATCCATTGAGTCCAAAAAAACTAAAGATATGTTTTATTTACTGAAATGTAAGAAAAAACACTGCATGCAAATTTTATGTACTATATGTAGAGTACTTGATGTACTTAGTATTTATGTACTAAGAGTACTTGAAGAGTTACTTTCAGCTACATGTTTATTTGCATAACAACTGTAAATACACTCCCTATGGGTCCACTTTAATGTGAAGTAGTTATAAAGGCAATACCTTATTTACAACTTTAAGATTCCTCTCCTGGTGTGAATTTTCTGAAGCACTGTGCATTAATTCATTTGCAGGAGGATTTCCCACAATATGTATGTAGTGTTTTTCTGTAGTATGTGTTCTCATATGTCTTCTTAAGGATGAGGAACAACTAAAGGCTTTCCCACAGTGCTTACACTCATAAGGTTTCTCTCCAGTGTGCATTCTCATATGTATTGGTAAAGAGGATGGCCATTTGAAAACTTTCCCACATTCCTTACATTCATAAGGTTTCTCTGCGGTGTGTGTTCTCACATGCTGTTGCAAAAGTTCAGGCCAACTGAAGGCTTTCCCACACTGCTTGCATTCATAGAGTTTCTCAGCAGTGTGCCTTCTCATATGTTTTTGTAAGGATATGTGGCAATAGAAAGCTTTTCCACATAGTTTGCATTCATACGCTTTGTCTTCTGGATGCATTCTCACATGTTCTCGAAAGCAAGCAGACAAATTAAAGGCTTTCCCGCACTGGTTACATTCATATGGTTTCTCTTTTGTGTGTGTTCTCATGTGTTTTCGTAAGGATATGGGCCAGTTGAAAGTTTTACTACATTGAGTGCATTCATAAGGTTTCTCTCCAGTGTGCACTCTCATATGTCCTCGAAAGGATGAGGGATGGCTGAAGGCTTTCCCACACTGGTTACATTCATAGGGTTTCTCTCCACCATGAGCCCTTTCATGTCTTCGAAAGGATTGGGGATAAATAAAGGTTTTCCCACACTGTTTGCATTCATATGGTTTCTCTCCAGTATGAATCCTTTCATGTCTTCGAAAGGATTGGAGATAAATGAAGGTTTTCCCACACTGTTTACAGTCATAGGGTTTCTCTCCAGTGTGTGATATCATGTGTCTTCGAAAAGCTGAGAAGTAACTGAAAGCTTCTCCACATTCCTTACATTTATGTGGTGTCTCTCCAGTGTGTGATATCATGTGTCTTCGAAAAGTTGAGGAATAGCTGAAGGCTTCCCCACATTCCTTACATTTATAAGGCTTCTCTCCAGTGTGTGTTATCATATGTCTTCGAAAAGTTGAGCAATAACTGAAGGCTTTTCCACATTCCTTACATTTATAGGGCTTCTCTCCAGTGTGTGTTCTCACATGACTAGTAAGACTTGAAAAATCAATGAAGGCTTTCCCACACTGCTGACATTCAAAGGCTTTCTCTGCAGTATGAATCCTGATATGCCGGTTAAGGGAAGAAGTACGAGGAAAGGTTTTTCCACATAATTTACATATGTAGGGCCTCTCTCCTTTGTGGGTTCTCACATGCATTCTTAGGTGTGAATGACAACTATAGGCCTGCCCACATTCCTGACATTGATAGGGTTTGTGTCCAGTGTGAATGGCAACATGACTCTTGAGGGATGAATGATGCATGAAGACTTTTTCATACGCACTGTAGTCATACTGTTTTACTCCAGTAAGAGTTTTCTGGTACAGAGTAAGATTTGGAATCTGACTGAAGCCTTCTGCACATTGATCATTACTTTCACAGGGTTTCACCACTGCATGATTTCTGTTAAAAATGAAAAAATGTTAACCATAGTATGATTAGTAATGATTTCTTAATATTTATTAATAAGTATTAGAATTACGTTTTCGCCAATTTCAGTGAATGTGTAGATTTTCGACCCTGACTTGTTCTAAAGCAGAGTGAACTGAATGGCTCAACCACAGCCATTATGAAAAGTGTTTCTTAAACATGGGCTTTCCTCCCAAGGCTTTATACTCCCAATTGTTTTCAACTGTTTCTAACACTCAACATCTATGTCACATTCAAGGAAGTTTTCTGGTGAAAATCTCTGTGAATAAACAAACTTGATCTAGGCTTATGTGGGTTGTTGGTTTGTTTGCTCTTTAGATTTCATGACATACTGATCCCTCCCGGAATACCGCTTTCTCTTGTGGGTACAACTCACCTCACATGTCTGCCCTGGTTTGTGTACTGATCTTCAATGCTTAGTTGCTCCCCAAGTTTCCCTAAGACGGAGATGCAAGGGTTGTTTCCGGAGAACTCTGCTATTTTATCTTCCTTGGATATTTTATTCCCATTAATATTCTGCTGAGAAACTGACCCATTGGCCTGAAATTGAATCTCATCATCTGAAAGCAGAAAGGGAACAGATCTTACAAGAAAGAAGGTTCCAGTTAGCCAAAAAAAGACACTGAAGAGGTTGGCTGTGTTGGGACTTCACCAATAACAAGTACAAGGGGTCAAAATGGGAAGCAATTTAATAAACACAGTAAAATTCTCACAAAGTTAGAAAGACAAATTTCACTGGGCCCCTAATGACCCATGAAACCTAAATCCACTGATGACCCCAAGGGAGCTTTCTTTACAAAAAAGTTTAATATTTACACAGATTCTTATTCTCACAGAGAAACTATTAGATTCTAGTTCTGTAACAGCTATGACCATGTCTTATTAATTAAGGTATTCCCTTTCCACATTCCAAATCTGGGAACAGAGTTGTTATAAGAAATGCATGTTCTCTAAATGACTAAGTAAAGAAATGATGTCATCCTTACCCACTGAGGCCAGGTTTCTGAAGTTTTCTAGCATTACTTCTCTGTAGAGCTCCCTCTGAGTACCATCCAGCAAAGCCCACTCCTCCGGGGTGAAGTTCACAGCCACATCCGCAAAGACCACCACATCCTGAAACATCCCACATGTTCTATTTCAACAAGGCACCTAATCACCAATGTGTGCGGGAGGGTGGGGGAGACAGCACTGAGTAACTGGACTTGATTCACAGGAAGTTCAATGAGGCCCTGTAGTCACCTAACATCTACTCTATGACTCAGTCATCACAACCTCTTACTCCATGTCGACACTCACATCCTCACAGACTTAAAGCACCACTAACACACTGAACTTACCTCCACATTTTTACTGTGACCAAATCAAGTCTTTTTCTTTTTTTTAAAGATTTTTATTGGGGAATTGGAGGGATGGGAACAGTGCTGGGGAATTGGGGGAAGGGGAACAGACAAGTTGCTGTCCTTTTGTTCTTCAGTCTAGTTGTAGAGGACGTTGCTTCACT